TAACTCTGACTATGTTGGAAATTTTGGACGAAGTCCTTTCAACTTTCAACACTTTAATGTTCGCGAAATTAGTATTATTGCAAACGGTCGAAGTTACCCCCAAGCCCCATATGACTTTGATTATATTAATGGGAAATATGTTCGAGCATTCAACGACATGAATGACGCTATTGGATTAGCTACTTCTTCTGAAAGTAATGGAATTAATTATCTGCAGTACGGAATTACTCATTGCATATACATCTTCAACTTAACCAATAGTGGAGACGACCAAGGAGGACTTTTTGATTTGATAAAGAATGGGACAACAGCGGTGAATATTAAATTTAGTCAGCCGGTACCAGACGGAGGAATTATGCTTGTAGCTATGGGAGAAGCAGATTCATTAATTATTTTAGATAAAAATCGTACTATCGCTAGTGACACTACTATATAAATAGATTCAGATTTCATTATTGTAATAAAATTTTAAAATGAATAAAATATCTATAATACTTTTTCTTATTCGAATTTTTTCGCCTCTTGTTGAATCACTAAGTATAGATGATATTTCAAAGGTGGAAAATCTCCCTGAATACGCAGAATATTTAGCAAAAAGAACTACAACTGAGACTAATATCCCTATAAATTTTCCAAACTTCCCTACCATTCAACTTTGTAAGGAAAGCCCTGGCGAGAATAATATATATGGTCATATTTTCTGTTGGGGAATGATAGGATTGTATATTCTATTTGTAATTAGCCTAATTATTTATCAATTACGTTCATTTCTTTGGTTAAAAGTAGTACTACCCGGAAAAAAGTTTAAAGGTAAAAATTAATGGATATAAATTAATATTTCTATTTTATAGAAGGAAATGAACAGTCATCAAATAACTGTGATATTGAACTCAAATCCAGAGACGAGGGAGATTTTCAAAGGATGCTACCCTTGTAACTTTATACCAAATATTAAATTACCCAAATCTGTCTATATTGTCAACCTGGACCCAGAAGGAATGAAAGGATCCCATTGGATAACTATTTTTACTAATTCAAACAAATTATATTATTTTGATAGTCTTACATTACCTACAAGTGAATGTATAATTAGTTCAATACCCTTATGTTTTTCTAAAATTATAAGAAATTTAAAACCTTATCAATCACCTCTTTCTAAAACATGTGGTCATCATTGTATTTCCTTAACTTATTTTTTATCACAAGGGTTAACTTTTGAGAAATATTTAAAAATGTTAGATAGTATTCAAAATCCTGATTTATTTGTAACTAAAGTAGTTAATAAACTTATAAAATAATTGTCACACACAACACTACATGTTTAATTTTTTGCATTAAAATACGGATAAAATTATATATTTTTTCTTAATTCTGCTAAAATACCCCCAAAATTGTCATCTTATATCCACTAATTTTTTTTACAAATTTTTATCTTTTAATATTGAAAATAAACATGATTAAGGTGCAGTAGCAAATAATGCACAATCCGTACATAACCAAAACGAGTAAAAAAATACATTTTCAGTTATCGGTATAAGGGTTTTCTTCTGTTTCTTCATCAAATTAAATTTCGAACATTCCTCGCACCAGTGATATCCATTAAAATAGTGCCAGATAAAACTAGCTCGAGCACCCTTGTCCAATATTTCACGGTTTCTTAACGATAAATTCAAAGCAGACAAGTAACTATGTCTTGTACACGTTTTGTAGTTAGCATGTCCCTTGTATAATTGGTATAATATATTAAACTTTTTTTTTAAAAAATACCTCAATTAAATAATGCTTTGATTCCTCTGCCATTCTTGTTACTAGTTTCGAAAAAAAATTAGAAGGAAAATAATACTGTAATATAGTAAGCTGCAAGCTTTTATATTTTCCCTTGAAATTTGAAAAATGTGAATGGTACGAGATGGTACATTAATTAAAAATAGATCCCCGAAATTTAAACATAAATAAAAATTTTACAAATATTAATTGTCTAGGATATGGCGGCACCTTTTGATCTTTTCACATCTGTCGACAGATGTTACAGTAATAAAATTCTTACAGACGTGACAGCTTTATTTTTAAAAAAAAGCCCGCCAAAATTTCAGATGAGGTTTAAAGACAGAATAATTAATTATAAATATCGTAAAAATGTAATAATCTCGTCATTTGTGTAATTTTTAAAATTTATTACAATCGATAATTTTTTATTAAATAAATTTTTTTAGCTTTATTATAATTTTTCTAAAATGGATCAACAACCACCGAAAAAAAGATCGCGTTTTTCTATTGAAAGTCTTTTAGGACTACAATCTATTTTTTCCATCACAAATCTACTTGGACTACAAAGCGGCTCAGGTTCTTCAAAAGAACCAAAAGATTATGTTGATCAACTCGAAGGATCGATTGAAGAAAATAAAAAATTTAAATTTTTGAAAAGCCGTAGCAAGTTCCTTATCAAGGACTTGCCTCCGGACCCTGAGGAGCTTCTGAGCAGTAAGTTAAAACTTTTTGATTTAATAAATAAAAATTACAGGGATTTTTCAATACTTTTTAAATGAAGCTGTGGAAGCTAGTGTAAATAGAGGAATGAAGGCAGAACAGATTGGATGCGTCGTGAGTAGCCCTGTACTGGATCACGATGTTTGGATCCCTATCAGGTCACCTTAAATTTGTTATAACCTTTAATAAAATTTCGATTATTTCAGGGATAGAAATGAGAATACGGTTGAATCAATACTCAACCGTTTTCTCCTGGTTGCCCAAAGTTTTCGGCAGAAAGAAGTCTCACTTTGGGGACAACCCTTCACTGTAACTGCTACAGTCGTTGACAAAAGCTCCCTACCTAAACAACGTCAACTACCAGGTGCCGGAAATCGAAAAATTGCACCAGTTCGTCATCGAATAAATGAAAGAGCTTTGATTAAGGTCAGTTTATCAATGTTTTAATAAAAGAAAAATTATATGTAAGTGTGGGATTAATCAGGAAAAATAATTAAAATAAACATCTTTAGATTGATTAAAGTAAAGTGGGAATTAAAATTATTAATTAGATAGGCAATGAATCATGGATTATTAAAATAATTTTTAATTTTAGATCGAAAACAACAATAATACCTTCTGTCTATTCTATTCCTTAGTAGCTACACTTGTTCACACGGTATTTAATTGGCACTGGGAAAAGTTCTCACGTTACATCAAAAGTCAACATGGAATGGCAAATAAACTTAGAGAAGATGCTTTAGAATTGATGAATATTATTGGAGCACCGACTAACTTAAAGGAATATAATGCTGAACAATGGGTTCCCATTGTTGTTAACTACTGGAACAACAAGTATTTTGGAAAACACATATTCAAAGTCTTCATCTTCGGATCACTTGGTTACTATGAACCTGAGTTTAAAAGTGGTCCTGATAATTTTGATACAGCAATCATACTCTACTACAATAATCAACACTTTGATGGAGTAAAAAGGACAGGAGGTTTATTTGGACAGCCCTATTGTTTACACTGTGAAAAGGTGTACGACAGAGACGTGACACATAAAATTTCTTGTAAAGCTAGGTGTAAAAGGTGTTCTAGAGTTGGTCCCGGCTTCCCCTGCAAAATCATCGAGGGATTCTACAAATTATGCCAGCATTGTTCTAAGACATTCTACAATAACAACTGTTATCAGTATCACCTCAAATGTGGCTTCTGCAATATTTCGAAAGAATGTCAAGAATGTGGCGTTATTTGGAATGTGAAGGACAACAATAAGAGGGGGCGTCAGGGTCACGTGTGCGGCGAACGTCATTGCTCAACTTGCCATGATTATCACGATCCGAAACGTGGATGTTTCATCAAGACCCTAGAACCTAAAGAAGTAAAGAAGTACAGATTTATAGCCTTTGATCTCGAAACCACACAATATCTTCCTACTGAACAAGGGAAGATACATGAAGCAAACTTTATCTGCGCAAAGGTTACATGCCCAGAATGTATTTTAGAGGTAAACTTTAAATTTAATTAATTTAAAAAATTTTTTTAGGAAAAAGAATGTCAAATTTGTGGTCAATATAAAACTTTAACTTTCTCTCATCGTCCATTTACAAATACAGTCGTGGATAAAATGTTCATCAGCCAAAACCCTTTGAAGACCTTTGTTGAATGGATAATTAACGGTTTACCTCAAGAACATGATACATTCGCTTTTTCACATTTTGGTGGTCGTTTTGATATGGTCCTTATCTTCAAAGAATTGTTTCTTAAAGGTAATTATTATTGATTTTTTATCAAATAATAGAAATTTTAGGTTTTACTCCAGAAATGTTAAAAAGAGGCAACAAGATGTATGAAATGAAAGTAACATCACGTGGGAAGAAGAAAGGGGACATCATCTTCAGGGACAGCTTCAACCTAATGCCTATGAGTCTTGCAACACTCGTACCTGCATTTGGCCTACAGGTTGAAGACAAGCCATATTTTCCGCACTTGGCGAACCATCCACGCAATTATGGAAAAGAAATCTATCCAACGAAGGCAGATTATCTGGCAGATGGCTTTCTTCCGGAAAAGAGGAAAAAGTTTGATTTGTGGTATGACCAACATCATCTAGAACCCTTCAACCTTGATGAATCATTGGCTTCCTATTGTACAAACGACGTCGAAATCTTAATGGCTGCACTTGTTGCTTTTAGAAAAGAATTCATAGAGGTTAAATTTTTTATAAATTAAAAAATAATATTTTAGGTTTCAAAACGTGGAAATGAAGGAATCGATGTCTTGCGTGAGTCTATGACTATCGCAAGTGCTTGCATGAAGCACTTCCGTTCCAATCATCTCAAGGCTGATCATCTCGCAATTGTACCAGAACGGGGCTACGACAACAAAGATAATCAAAGTCTACTAGCATTGAAATTCTTGGAATGGTATGGTGAAACAAACGGAGTTATTGTTCAAACGGCTAATTCTGTAGATGGTGAAAAAAGGTAATTAAGTTAGAAAAGATCAATTTTAAAATAATTTTTAAGAATTGGGAATTATCGTCTAGACGGGTGGGTTGAAGATCAAAAACTGGGAATTGAGGTGAATGGGTGCTGCTGGCATGCATGCATCAAGTGTTACCCGGACGATGGAATTGTATTGCCTTCTGGAAAGACAGCCGGCCGACAACGTGAATCGGATAAGAAGAGGCTCAACTTTATTAAGTCTCAAGTACAAGAAGTTAAAGTTTACTGGGAATGCGAGATAAAAGCAATGCTGAAGTTGGATAAAGAAATGAAGAAGAATTTTGATAGGTACCTGGATAATGGTCCGATTGATATCCGCTCAGCATTTTTTGGTGGGAGAACAGGTCCGCTTAAACTGTTTTATTCTGCTCAACCTGGTGAGAAAATAAGTTACTACGACGTAACTTCATTGTATCCGTTCATCAATGTTACGACAAATTACCCAACTGGTCATCCCATTCCTCACATATTGAACGAAAATGTGTGTTGGACCAAATCAAGTGACAACAAATATGAACTGGCTATTCTCAAGGTAATACAAAAAATTTTTGAATGAAAATTAAATTTTACAGGTATTTGTTATCCCTCCCAAGAAAATTGATGTTCCTGTGTTACCTGTTAAATCGAATGATAGATTGTTATTCCCTCTCTGCATCGCTTGCGCGTAAGTTTAAAAAAATAATTCTAAAGTTTTGAAAATTTTTAAGAAAAGAACATCCTGAAGGAGGAATAGATGAAGAATATAAATGTGTGCATGAAGATAATCAACGCGGCTGGGTCTCAACATGCACTTCCGTAGAGCTTAATGAGGCTCTCGATTGTGGTTATAAGGTGACAAGGCTTTTTCGTGTTCTTGAATATACTTCAAGTGACAACAGTCTGTTTCGTGGCTACATCTCAGAGTTTATGAGTCAGAAAATTCACTCATCAGGATTTGATAACTCGATCAAGGGAGATTGGGAGGCCGAAGAGAAATTTATTCAAGAATGCGCGGATAAATTTGACATCATCATTGATCGAAATAAAATGGTAATTATAATATTCTATAAAAAATAATATAAATTTTAGGTCCCCAACAAAGGCAAACGTACTCAGGCAAAATTGTGTCTGAATAATCTTTGTAAGTTTTTTTTTTCCATTTTAATAAAATAATAATTTAAATTTTAGGGGGTCGTTTTTCTCTTAGAAATTTTGGCCTGAGTCAGTGTACAATCACAGACAGCCCTGCAGCCTGGCGAAAAATTGTGGATGATTCAACCAAGGAAGTGTCTTCTGTAGATCAATTGACTCCTGACATCATCTTGATCTCCCATTTGACAAAAAAAGATTGGGTGGAAGAACACGGATGCTCGAACGTTGGTAAGTATTATTTAAATTTTTAAAAATTTTGTTAAACATTCAGTTATTTCGTTATGGACAACATCCATGGCGAGAATCTATTTGCTAAAGGCAATGCAAAAGGTGGTCAGAAGTACAGGGTGTAAACTTCTATACACAGGTAAATATTGTTTTTAACATTAATATAATCTTAATTTCAGACACAGATTCAATTATTTTTGTTCACCCTGAAGAAGATAATTCGCTCAAGCTTGGTCCGCACTTGGGCGACTTTACTGATGAGTACCCTCGTCATAGAATATTAGAATATTGTTCAGCTGGTGCCAAACAATATGCACTTCAACTTCAAAGAAATAATGATACAGATGCAGAATTAGAACATGTAATTAAATTGAGAGGTATTACTCTGAATTGGGATGTGACTGTCAACCAACAATTACATTATGAAACTTTTAAAGAAAAATTATTTCAATTTGTTAACGGTCAATGTGCTCCACTAAACTTAAATTATCCCAATTTTCTTCGCCCGTCTGTAAGAAAAGGCTCTGTATTTACGCAACCATTAAAGAAAATGTACCGTCCCTTTGTAGGGAAAGGAATTGTTAGGCCTAGTGATTTTACTGTATTAGATTTTGGCTATAATTTGTAATTTGTTTATTTAATATTTTGTAATAAAATTTATTTTTATATGCGAAATTAATTACTAAAAGTATAAAATATTAGGGGTAAAAATGCGATATTAATAAGAAGAAGAAAAAGTTTAAAAATAAATTTAAGTTATAAAATTAAGAGAAAGAAGTTTATAATTTTTAGGGGAAAATTGCAGAATTAAGGTTTAGAAGAGAATATTTTTTAACTTAGTTTCAAATTTAGGGAAAGAAGTTATTGTTTTTAAGAAAAAGTTTCAGAATAAATAGTTAAAAAAGAATAAAAAAATCACCATCCTTCAATTTCATCAAAATCATCTGTGAAAATTAGCGGGTCATCCGTATTTCTGTCCGAATCAGATGTTTCTTTGTCAATTTGTAGTTTCTCAGAAACTTTAGTATAAAGTGGTTTGTCATCAATTTGAAACCCAATGTAATCCTCAACTTTTTCATCAACAAACTCCAATAATTCTAGAGGGTAGTATCGATCTTCGCATCGCCGAGGGAAGTGTTCAATGACACATTGCAGATAAGGATATTGTAATCGAATTCGGTGTCGTGAATAAAAGTGTGCTGCGACGGAAACATTAAAAGGACGAGATAAAGCACCGTACGCCAAAGTACAATGAGCACCCTTGTAAGTCAGATCATAGATAGTAAATGTCTTGCGGAATCCGTTTCTGTCTGAGTAGAGAGTTCGAACTTTTCTTCCTTTAAGCTTTGATATGAGTAAAGCTCGCTTTGATGGGTGATGTAAATTATCACGTAATGATTTGGGGTGGCATTGTAAAATCTTAGCGCATTCATCGATTAGATAGACCATGTCAATTAAAGAATGAAAAGTTTATTAAATAATTTTAAAAAAGTTAACGCCTTTTATACTCGATCAAAATTTCACCGATACTTGATATCTTCAAAAAATAATTTAATAAAAATTATACGGTCCCCCAATTTTTGCAAATATTTTAAACGACAGATGTATAATTTTTTGAATATTAGTATTTGTATTGTTTACGACAATTCGAATGACCTTGAGAAAAATCATCCATCATAAAATTTTATTACAATATTTTAAATGACAGATGTTTGATTTATTGTATATTATAGGTATCATTTCAAAAAAAAATATTCGAACGACCTTGAAAAATTCTTTTAAATTAAATTAATACTTTAATATTTTTAATGAATAAATATAATATTAAATATTATCGTAATGAATCGGTAATTATCTTTTTTTTAAATTTAATTAAAAATTTTAGAAACGACAAGCTTCTTATGATTTGCCACTTGGTGTACATGCTCTAAGAAAATTACAACAAAAACAAAATTGTAAAAAACGGATAATAAACAATTATCATCGTTTTAATCACAGAGAGGTAAAATTTTTAAATTAGTTTCATATAACATTTAACTAAAAGAATAAGAAACCTGTTCCACTGCACATCCGTATCCTAAAAATGCAACATACACTAAGAAAATTAGAACAAAGACAAAATTATAAAAATCGAAAGATGAACAATTATCATTTTAATCACAGAGAGGTAAAATTTTTAAAATATTTCATATAAAATTTTAGGATAAATTATTCAAATATAAGAATCCTGAACCACTGCGTATCCGTCTCCTGAAAATGCGACAACGCGATCAGCAAATATTTATTCAAAAGATGCAAGAACAAAAGCTGTTTAAAGAATTTTCAAATTTAAAAATTGGCGATTAATAAGCTTGATTAAAATTTTTGTAATTTCGACTTATTTATTAAATAAACTTATAATATTTTTATTAAATAACAATTTTTAACTTAAACCAGCAACTGAAATTTAATTTTATTTTTATTTAAAATTTTTAAATCTAAATTATATGTTCCCTCTTATTAAATTAAAATATAAAATTACAATATTATACTTTATTCTTTTCCATCTCAAAGATCCCGCTCAATATTATGCCTTTCCTAGAAGCAACAGCTGCATCTGTTGTAGTTTTTGATAGTTTGGAAGAAAAGATTGAAAATGATAGGGAATAAATTTTCTCGGGTAGGATATACACTTTTTTCCATTTCTTTCATGAGTTAACTTAATATTATAGGATAATTTTCTTTAACTAATAATGGACAACAACAACACCCAAAATATTGATTTGGGACTGAGTAAACTAATGGATAAGCTATCTTTAAACGTTGAAACTGCTCATGATCAAATTCAAGAGCTTCAAAGTACAGTAGAAAATCAAAATATGCAAATTATTCAAGCACGACAACGATTACATGTTTTACAAGAGACGGTTAATTATCTTCAAAATCGTATAACAATTTTGGAGGATCGTCTTAATGTAATTTTAATAAATATTTGGATCAAACATTGATTGGGCCACTCAATTATTAAAGTTCTCATTGAACATGCCACAGGGATTTGGGTTAAATTCATGAAAGGAGAAAGTCTGACCATTATGTAATATTATTTAAAAATAAGGGGTACCCTAAAACTCGATATACCCGGAAGTTGTAATACAAAATATTTTAGTTGAGAAATAACTATTTTCTGGAACCGGAGGGAGCTGAAAATCATATGGATTTTGTTCAGCAAGATGTCCATATGTTAGATTCAGAAACCGATGAGGAAATGTAATTGAACTTACTGTTTGTAAAATTTTTCAATGAAAATAAAGTTGAAATAAATTGTTAAAAAGTTAATTTTAACCAAATAGTTCAAAAATTAAAACCTGTACACCCGCAGAAGATTGAACCCCAAAAAACATTAGGGGTAAAGGATAACATCCCAATATTTTAGTGATTTTGGATATAATGTAGTGTACCGGTGGTAAAAGTTCGGGACATGATTTTAATAGTAAAAGCTGAAATTTTAATGAAAAACAGGACAGCTCGACGCAACTCTGCTTGCGCAGGTGCATGTGTGCTGCCCTGAAACAATTCACCTCGACGCAACTCAGAAGAGTGCATTTGTGGTGAATTGTAATTTAGATAAACAAATTTTTCTATTAAAATCAAGTACCATTAAAACCATTAAATCTATTGGGGACAATCTTTTTAGTTTTTGAATTGATCCCATTAGTTTTGTGATTTTAATAGTAAGTTAAAATATTTATAAAAATCAGGACATTACCAACGAATGCATTGATGCGACGGTTTTTTTTATTACCAACAGTTCTACACTATCGCCATTGGCGCGTGCTTGCACTGTTTGAATCCGCTCTACACTATCGTTAAAAAACGCGTGTTTGCGCAGACCAACAGTTCTACACTATCGCCATTGGCGCGTGCTTGCACTGTTTGAATCCGCTCTACACTATCGTTAAAAAACGTGTGTTTGCGCAGATTTTTTTAGTAAAACATTTACGTTCAATAAAAAACGTATAATGAGATGTATCAAACCGTCGCATCAATGCATTCGTTAAAAGTGAAATAGCAGGTTGAAAGTAAGTTTGTTCTGCATCGATACAAAACGTATACACCGCTCAAACTGAATTTTTGAGAATTGAAATTAAAAAAATTTTTTAATTAAAATCACAAAACTAGTAAAACATTATATTTATTTTTTTGGGAAGATTCGTAATCTTCTGGGGTGAACACTGTCCGAAATCATAAATGGTCCCCAATTATCTGATAAAAATCATAACCATAAAATTTTTACCATATAAAATACATAGGATTTTTATATCTCATAAAAATTTTTAATAAAAATTACCCCTGATGAATTTTTCCCATTTAATTAATTACAGCTCTTTCACAAACGCATACAAATAGTTATGGCACATTTATAATTTAAATAAATATATCTACTTTAATATTTAAGAAAATCTAATTTTTTGAAAAAAAACTTCTAAATTGGATTAATAGGATATTCATATCCAGCTGTTGCTGCTCTTAATCTTTCTTAAATAATAAAAAATTACTAGAGAGAAAAGGAAATTGTTGGGTTAATTAAGCGACAAAATACCATTGAAATAAAATGTCAATTTCAGAACCCATGTGTAACAGGGATGAGACGGGGCATCCAAAACAAAAAAATTTTTTGGCTCCAAACTGCCAGTTTTTATGTTCAGAATTGAAATTAAAACGAATTTTTTAATAAAAATAATTTTTTAAAAACCTGAAGCATGTTATCGATTGTTTAACAAATACTCGTTCTTACAAGTCTAACAATTTCCCAATTAATTAATTGTTTGTAATTGTTCCAAAGGAATATCAGCAATAGAGACAATTTCAATTTTTCAAAGAGACACCAAAATTTCAAGTTCAATATATTGAACAATTTGTAAACTTGAAATATCGTCACCACCAATTATTGTTAACCGCATATTTTTTTAATTTGGAATAAATAAAACTGAAAGAAAATAAAAAGAATCAATAAAAAGTAATGCGTGGAAAGTTGTTCATCTTCGTAGGAAAAGAAAGCAATTGAGAAAGGATGGATGAGTGACAGTATACACTCAGACTCAAATGTTTGAAAAAAGGGGTTTCTAGTATAAGTCAGAGAAATGAATTTGTTTACAAAATTTATTTCTCTACTCTATACTTACATAAATCCCCCTCCTCCCCTCCTACTATTTTGTATTTTGAAGGATTAATTAAAGATTTTTACCGCAAAAAAAAGCAATTTGTAATCAATTAGTAAAAGCAAACAAATTAGTTCAGACCCCTCCAACAATTAATAATTAATTAGATACTAATTACTTCGGACCCCTCCCCCCATTAATGATTTATTAGGTACTAATTACTTCGGACCCCTCCCCCCATTAATGATTTATTAGGTACTAATTAGTTCGGACCCCTCCCCCCATTAATAATTTATTACCCCAACGGTAGGATCAAAAGAAAATGCCGACAAAATCCCCCCATATCCACGGGATTTCTCGGACCCCTCCCCCAGACCCCTCCCATAGGTTGGCGGCATCCCTTTGATCATCAATCAAAAGGATGGCGGCATCCCTTTGTGCGAAAACCGGGGGGTTAACTACTAGTCGAATCCCTCTAATACGACTTCCTCTTTTAGTAATAGGTTTGGGGACCCAATCCGGCCCGGTCCGAAAGATTGAGTCGGGCATTGAATTTTGGCCCGAAAAAGACTTGATGCCTGACACGATAGAAATGAGGCACGAAAAAAATGACTCGAACGTCGGCCCGACTCTACAACCCCAACTCCCTCTCTTGGTAATACATCAACCCTCCCAATTCTGATCCCAAAAATGTGAAGTATTAGAGAGATTCCACTGTTTACATATTAAATATTCATTATTATTACAATATTAAAAAATTAAAGAGAGAGATCATTTTAATCTAGGCTAAAAAACTTTCTATTACAATTCTTTTCTGTTTAGATCAAGTACCTGATTATATTAAGAATACATCTCCCCAACTCTCGTTTAAGTAAAAAAAGACAAAGGTGAAATTTTTAGAATAAACCTTGTCCGCAAATTTTTGCGGACAAAATTTGCGGACAAAAAATTTTTTTTCTTGGCAAGCTTCCTTAAAAGAACGGGTCTAAAAAGGGTATAATTTACACAAGCTTTAGGGTCTCTCAATTCAAATTTACCAACGAGAGTTGAGAGGAACACACACACAACCTAACGTTTTCCCCCACAAAAATTTACTTGTACTTAATTACTTATATGGCTAACTTAAACTTAAATTCTTAAAATAAATAAAAAAAATATTAAAAAAAAAACTTTTTTTAATTATTAACACTAGTTTTAGACGGTCTTAAAGCAGAAAAAATTCTTAACCGATCATGCGAACGTCTACTGTTTGTTGTAGCAGATTTTTGTTGTTGTTTTCCATCAATATATAAAGTTTGTTGTTGATCTTCTTTAGATGATTTTACTTTTTCTCGACTTCTTGTTCTCAAAGAAAATTTTGATGGGTAATTTGTTGTTGCTGTTGAAGATTCGATGCTTTGTGCTCTAGCTGTATATAAGAATTAGTAGGGACAGCCAAAACATGCAAATGCATGTTTTGTATGCGGATATGCCTTGAAGTGGGAAGCCCAAAAATGGTGTTTTTACATAAGTACGGGCACTTTAGGACCCGGTTCTTAATGCATATATTTGCATATTTCGACCATTTCGTGCATATTTGCATATTTGTGCATATTTTGGCAAAATTTGCATATTTTGGTCCATATTTAGGCATTTTTTGTAAAATTTTGCCAAAAATTGACAAAAATTTTGAAATTTTTTGGTCAAAAAAATTTTTTTATAAAAATTTTTTGAAAAAATATTTACGAAAATTTTTTGGGGAAAATTTTTTTCCCCAAAATTTTTGCAGAAATTTTAAATATATTAAATCCTTTAGAAGTGTTCATAAAATGTAAAATTAAAGGCTAAATTAGTGTTTTTAAATTAAAATATTGATTTTTAAAGCATATTTTAACTATTTTTTGGTGCATATTTCACTGCATATTTTGGCAAATTTTGCATATTTTGATGCATATTTTGGGCTTTTTCGGTGCATATATATGCGCATATTTGGCAATTTTCCGTGCATATTTTGGCTGTCCCTAAGAATTAGTAAGTAGAAAGGAGAAAAAAATTTTTTTCTAAAGCAATAAGGACAGTCAACCCCCCTCTCCTCTCAAAAAAACTTGTCAAATCCCTTTCCCTTAATGCTTACAAAGTTTGCAATCTTTGTCCGTATGAGAATTATTTTTTTTTGAAAAAGTATATTTAAGAGATAATTTTCCTTATACAAATTAACATTGATGGTCTCTCTTGTATGGATATCAGTCCAAACCCGAATGAAGAGCCGAGGATTTTTCTGTTTGATTTTGGGTCTTACACTCCCCGCTTTTTTAAAAGAATCTATGACTTGCGGATAAAACTTACGGACTTTTTATGCTCACAACGAAAAAGAACCTCATTAAAAATATTTAACTAAAATAAAACCTCTAATCACAGAAACATCATCCACATTATTTTGAAGATGTGAATGTTGTTGTTTTTGTATAATATTTGAAAATAAATTTCCAAAAGAGCGTCTAGTATTATTTTGATGTTGCTGTTGTTCATTTAACAATGTTCCATTACTTCCCATTATTTTTGCAGTTTTTCCTCCATTTCCCATAGTTAAGCCTGATGATGTTGATGAACATGTATCTAAATCAGTATCGCTAGGTTCTGCTAATGCTATAGGTGCTTGATTGTTTTGGTGTTTAGAATGTATTAATCCTCCGTTTTGATGGTGGTTTAACCCTTTTGATTCACTCATTGATCTACTCATTGTTGCTGAAGTTGTTATACCATTGCTCACCCCTATCTTCCTGTTATGTAAAAAAGAAAATATTAAGTTTCAGGTATCTCCTTGTATTTTTTGTTTAAAGCCTCCTGGTTCTAAAAATCGAAAACGGTTCCAGTTCTAAGCGGGTCAAAAAAAGATTTCTGGGACAGGTTCCCTATAACAGATTTCCTAGAAAAATATTTTTGGTGGAAAAGGTTCACAAATTCCAAGCTCAAATGGAACCCGGAAACTGCCTCTAGCAGTAAATAAAACGCTTAAAATTGAAATCATCGCCCGTAACGAGAGAGGCGTCTAGCAAGTCTGTTAAGAGGTCAACTGTCAAGAGATTACCAGTTTGGTTCCTGCGCTTAACCCTTACTGATAGCACAAAATAAAAAGACTTAAAAAATTTTAAAAACAGAAAAAAAATTTTTTAACCTTCCATAGTGTCCTCCACTAGTATTTCTTTCAACCGAAGGAGAACTTCCTATTTCATGTTTATTATTAAATTTATGTTGTTGTTGTTTAAATCCTCCATTTATACCATTATTATTCTTTTTCTCTATCCCAACATTATTAGTGTTGTTTTTCAAATGTTTTACTACATGTTTTGGTGTTTTTTCACTGTCTGTCGGTGATGTTTCTTGTTGTTGTGTTTGTTGTTTATTTAATGTTTTTGTTGTTTGGATAGAAGGGAGTGGGGATGTTGTTGTGGTAGAATGTTGTTGTTGTTGTATTACCCGCTTGTTGTTTTTATGTTTCTCATTTGTTGTTGCATTTGTTGTTGTTTTCTCTTTCTCTAACTTATTGTTAACAACACTGTTTTTCTCTAACACTTGTTGTTGTTGTTGTTCTTTTGTTGTTGTTGACTGTCTTCTATTTTGTTGTTCTTTTGTTTCCCCGTTTTGATGATGTTGTTTATCTACCCAACCATTACATGCCGTGTTTTTATCGTTTATATTGGGATAATTAATACGTTGTATATTTACTTTTTTGGTAGAAATTATTTCATAAAGTTTATCTCTATATTCGTGGACAGAAAGTTGAATATGATCTTGAAAAATAAAAAATTTTTCCAATTTTTATTCAAAAATTTTTTTAATTCTTACCAGGAAGAGGAAGCCTAACTTCATAATCTAGCGACGGTTCTTCTGCTTTATTATGAAATTGAGAGACATATGGATGTTCTAAACATTGCTCAACGTTTAACCTTTTGTGTGGGGCAAAGATGAGAAGTCTAAAAAAATTTTTTTTATTGAAAATTAAAAAAAAACCTTGAAACTAAATCTAAAGCTTCTGGAGTAGTTTGTGATAAAACTATATCTAACGGCTTCTTTGGCCATTGTGGCATTTTTTCTAAAACTGAGGAGGCATAAGCAGAGCCAATACTTTCAATATCATTCTGATAAAAAATAGGAGTTCAAATTTAAAAAAGACAAACAAACTTTAGAAGGCCTTTGAATTGTATTCATAATACGTTCAATTTGATTAATAGTAGAACTACCAGGGAACTTTAAAATTGAAAAAATTAAAAATTAAATATTGTAAGGAAGAGAAGGATCCAACTGGTTAGCATTTTTAAACCGCTTACTAGGCGTTGTCTAAGACTTATATTATTGAGAAGGTAAACGCAGCGACCCGGTATCGGTCGGTAGAATACATGTATAGGGTCAGCGGAAGTGCCAAAGCAACAACAACTGCCATGAGGTCGCGCAGGACAGATGTTAGGATTTATATTATTAATTGAGGCGGTAATCTGAGTCGGTAGAGTAACTGTCAAAGGGTCAGCGGAAGTGCCTAAGCCATGAGGTGCGCAGGCCGCTCTCGGTTAAATTTTTACCCTCTCTCTCTCATACTATATTTTATTCTTTAAATAAAAAATTCCCTTACAAGTGCTTTCCCCAACAACATTTCTGCCAATATACATCCAAGGCTCCACATATCAACACCTTTTGTATAGTGCTTGGCAGCTATAAAAAAATTTACAAAAAATTTCACAAAAAATTAAAAATACCAAGCAGAATTTCAGGCGATCTATACCATCTAGTTGCTACGTATTCCGTTAATTCGGGTACATTGGACCCATCTAGGGAGTCATCCATTTGGCTAAAAGAGCGTGCCAGACCAAAATCTGCCAACTTAAAAAATAAGAAAATTTTTCGTAAAAACAAAAGAAAATGGAGAAAAAACCTTTACTCTGCATTCAGCATCTAATAATACATTTGATGGTTTCAAGTCTCTATGAAGAACATTGCCGCTGTGCAAAAATCTGTAAATTAAAAATACTTTAATTTTTTAAAAAACGTCAAAAATCAACTACTTCTCTTCGGAATTCGTTGTAATACCAAACGTCGAAATACCACCCCCAAAAGACCTCAAATACAAACCTGTGGAAATGACGTTATACTCACAAACTGGCATTTCAACAGCTTTTGGAGGGTTTGGTATTTCGACGTTTGGTATTACGCATAAAAATTCTGGGACGGAGAGTTTCTTTAAAAATAATTTTAAAAAACAAACTTGATGGCTCTAAAGAGTTGACACATTATATCTTCAAAAAAAATAAAATAATTTCTAAAAAATTTAAAAAAATACATTGTTTGTGTATATCCTTAAGAATAGTCATCTTCTTAATTACATTGTGTAAATCAGCCTCCATATATTCAAATACAAGATAAATGTCTCTAAAAGTTAAAGATAAATTTAGGGTATTCCCTAGCCTCGAATTATTTCCCCAAATATTTTTGTATGAACTGATATGCTCACAGAAAATTAATTTTTTTATAAAAGACCTCCATTCCCTCAACTAAAACCTTTAGGTAGAAATGTTTAGGAAAAGTTGCCTTGCAGTTAACACACGAAGCAACTTCAACTAGGAAAACTTGATTGACTTAAACTAGGGGAAGAGGTATTTTTAAATTATTATTCGTCTCTGAATACCTTATATTAGTAGTGCTAGTTAGTGTAGAAATCAACCAAGTACTTGTCCCTACTTTCACCAGTTTTTAAATCAGGTTAACGATCCTATTGAACAAGTTCCCTATTAATCCTTCGATACCTCCCCCCCCCCTTTTTTAAATCTTATAAAAAAACCAAAACAAACTTGTCATTATCAGCCTTCAAAATATTATACAATTTAATAACGTTTGGATGCCTTCCAAATTCTTGTAAAAACATAATTTCTCTAAAAGTTCTCTGCGCATCTGTAGCATTCCGAAAAGCATCAAAAATCTTTTTTAAAGCTATGGCCTCATTTGTTCTTCTGTCAACAGCTTTCCAAACAATTCCATAAGCACCTTAAATATGTTGATGGGATAAAATGTCACCATTCTTTTAATTTTATAAACTCGAGAATCTAGGACCTAGAGGTCGGAATTTTTGAAAAGCCTGGGCTTGTTCCTGGGTTCGGTGCTTGATTTATTGACCTGGGCAGGATCGGGTCCGTAGTCAAGGAAAAACTCAGGCCCAGGGGAAATCCAACATTAAACATCCCTTGTCAGTTTCCTCAATTTAACATTTGGCCTGAGAAAAGGCCCGCCGTTCCAATATTAAGCAAGCTTAATTTTTCATAAGCGTCTAGGTTGTGAATTTTGGCCTGTTCTGATATACAGGAATCGAACCGAAAATCCTCAGTTCTTCAATTCGATTCCGAAACGTCTCACAATTTTTGAAAACATTTGGCCTTAGAAAAGGTCCCGCGTGATCTCTCATATTAACTTTTTACTTTCCCATAACTATTTACTCTTAAAATGTTAACAGAATGGCTACAAAAAAATGTCGCTAAACTAACAAAAAATTTCTGAGTTTCCCACAAGTAAAAAATATTATTTGACAAACCTTTCCCCAATCGTTTTTGAATATCGTAATTCTCCACAATGTGTGAGTCTACTTCTTCTGACATTTAAATAACACAGAACCCTGGAAAAAAAATTTATGAAGATAAAAGTTAACAAAGAAAATCAGGAATGTCCGTAACTCCCCAATAGAGAGCGGGCTGGATCTGGATCCAGACCTTGATTTTTCCTGGATCCAGAGTCAAGATCAAGGCATTTTTCAGCGTTCCTTGATTTTTTCTTGACCCAAGGTCTGGTCAAGGTCCTTACTTAAAATCAAGGTTAAGAATCAAGGTCAAGGTTTTTTTGAAAATCTCGCTCTCTACTCCCCCATATACTTACTACAAATCCATAAGAAAATTTCGACCATTTCCTTGAGTATCGCACTCACAACTCAAGGCTGTCCGCAACTGCCAGATATGGGTTGTCCGCAAGGGAAGTCCGCAAAAACTTGTGGAGTCCGCAAAAAATTTATTTTCCTAGTTGCAGCCAGCCCTAACTTAAATACAATGAGGAAATGCTCAGAATGACTTAAAAATAAACAAGAATGTCTTTTATGGATTTGGAAAAGGATTTGAAGAAAAATTTGAAGAAAGGAGATTGAAAAGAGCAAAAAATGTGCAGCTCAAAGGGAGACAGTCTATTCAAATATTTTTAAGAAAACATTCAAAATCCAAAAAAAGTATAAAAAACATTAAAAGACTGTCTTCACGTTAAAAAGTCTCAGAGAATATTAAAAAAATTTTTTAATATTCCGATTGTTAGAAAAATTGACCAAGAACATTTATTTAAACTCTACTGGAAGTCAAGGTAAAAACCAGTGGGAACAGCCGGAAAAATGTTTTATTGATGAAGTGACATTAAAAAAGCATTTCTGTGGCACAAATAAACAGATAGAAATGAGGGGGAGAGGAAAGGTATATTACACAGGCAAAAGGTATATGATGAGGTAATTGAATGTTTGGGCGCGGTATTGTCTGGGAATGAGTTTATAAATTGAAAGGAACCTCGAAAATTTTATAATGAAGATTTTTATAAGCCTTATGAGCTCCCTGATCTAATACAAAAATTTCAAAAAATTTCGAAAAAATTTGCCTGGCAGGGAAATTTTGGTACTGATCCGTTATACCTTCTTGCGGACTGCCTTACCACAGAAAAATTAGTGAAATTGAGGGAGGGAGGAGAATAACCATTTTATACATAAAGGGGTAGGAATAACGGAAAAGTAGCGAAATTTTTTTCAAAAACCAAAATCCTCCAAAAATGCCCATTTTCCTTACTTTTTCAGGCCATAACTTTCCCTATGTCCAACCAAAATTTTTTAAATTTAAAAAGACAATCCTAAAGGGCCCCATAATCCAATACAAAAATTTCAAAAAATTTTCAAAAAAATTTTACTAGGCAGAAAAATTTTGGTACTTTTCCGTTATACCTACCCCCTTTTTGCGGACCTTTTTTTTTGCGGACTGCCTTACCTCAGAAAACTTGAGTAAAATTAAGAGAGGAAGGAGAATGACCATTCTTTACATAAGGGGGTAGGGATAACGGAAAAGTACCGAAATTTTCTTCAAAACCAAAATCCTCCAAAAATGCCCATTTTCCTTACTTTTTCAAGCCATAACTTGTCATAGACCACCCCAAAATTTTTTAAATTTAAACTGAACTTAGCTACCCCTCTTGCGGACAACCACCCCAAATTTCAACAAAATAGGTCAATTCCCGATAATTTTATTTGTCCTCACGCCCAACCACTACCGCGCCCAAATACCCAAATATGCCGTAACGACTGCCAGAAAACCAGAAAAATAATATTAAAATAAATGGCAAACCTTTGCTACCTGTCAGCAATAGTTTTCTCTTTTTGAATAAGCAGCAAGACATATATTCTAGTAGCCCCTCTCCTCTGTGCAGGTAAAATCGTGAAAAAAATTTTTTCTAGTTGTCTAGGTAACCATTATTTAATAAAAGATTGAAAAGAGATTGTGGCTGGCAGAATAAATAAATGAAAAAGAAAATTAAAAATCTGAAAAAAGAAAAAAAATTTTTTTAATTTAAAATTTTTCGAGTTAAAATAAAAGGGATGTTCTAGGTACCAGGAATTAAAAAGGAAAAAGAAAGAAAGAAAATTTATTTCTAGGTATCATTGAATAAAGAACACAAATTTTTTGTTTCAATAAATACAAATTAGCGTCTGTTAAAAAATTTTTTTTCTTTCAAAAGAAACCTTAAAAGACAAGACCAGCAATTTTCGATTTTTAAATTTCAAAAATTTTTCGAACCAAAAACACCAAACAAACCTTTAGCCAGTAGGACATTTGGTCACTTAACAAGTATTTTTGTATTTCGTCACACTCAAGATTGATTATTTTAGATCCTCATTATTTAAGAAAGAGTCTAACAAGTTTAGCCACCGGGCAGTGAGGCGCTCTACCATTAAAGCCATCTTCACTTCACACTTTCACTTTTCCCCTTTTAGATTGTTTACAGTTTTTCAAATACATATTCTTAAAAATTAAAAATTTCCGTAATTTATTTTATTAAATTACTCGTTTAATAAAAAAATGGCAAAAAATTTAAAATATATTTTTTAATTAATAAAAAAATATTAAAAAAAAAGTAAAGGAGATACAATTTTAAAATATTTTTAAAAAATTTTTTGTTAGAGATTTTAATAGTTAATTTTTAAAAAATATTTAAAGAGATCATACACAATGTAAAATAAAAAAAATTATTTTTTGGGTATGAGACAAAAAAAAAGAATTTTTTTTTGAGATTAATAGAATATAAAAATATTTAAAAAACAATACAAAAATGAAAAAAAAAATTAAAAAAAAAATTAATTTTAAGCCCAAAAAATTTTAATTTTTTTCTTGGCAATTTTTGTAGTAGAGCACCCGATTTTTGAGAAGCAAAGAAAAAATACAAAAAAAAATTTCCAAAAAATTCCAATAATTCCTCTCCCTCTATTCATCATATAACCATTCATTATATTTATTATTATTATTGTTTAATTGACGTGGAATACAATAACTTTTCAATTCAGTAAATACTTGTAGAAATAGAGTTGAAGAAGAATTTATTTTTAACATTTGATTGCTATGTATTTTAATTAATTTAACACATTTTGACCAAAAAAGTGAACGATCCTGCAATGATAGATTAGAGAAAAATAAATAATGTCTGTTAGTTCTTGTCTCTCTTATTATTTGTTCAGTAATTATACACTCTCTCGCTTTTTTGTCTAACATTCTTTCCGGAAAATTAAGTTGGTGAAATACAAAAAGGAAATTATAATGTATTTTCCGGAATGAATAATATTGTATTTTCCGGAAAGAATAATATTGTATTTTCCGGATTAGAATTCCGGAAATGTAATAGAAAATTCCGGAAAATAATACCAATAACAAATTAAATTCCGGAAAAATAAATTAATTATATATTGTATTTTCCGGAATGTATTTTGCTGTATTTTTGCTTTATTAATTATTTTCCGGAAAAGAATTCCGGAAAATACACTTTAATAAAATAAATATAATGTATTTTCCGGAATTTTTATTATAATAATTATTTTCCGGATTAGAATTCCGGAAATGTAATAGAAAATTCCGGAAAATAATACTAATAACAAATTAAATTCCGGAAAAATAAATTAATTATTTTGTATTTTCCGGAATTCTTTCTGGAATGTATTTTGCTGTATTTTTGCTCTATTTATTTTCCGGAAAAGAATTCCGGAAAATACACTTTAATAAAATATAAAAAATATAATGTATTTTCCGGAATTTTATTTTTAATAATTATTTTCCCTATCAGAATTCCGGAAAATTGTTAGTTAAATACAAATAATTGTATTTTACAATTATTTATTTTCCGGAAATAAGTTAGACAAAAAGCGAGAGAGTGTAGACACCTGCTTACGGAAAGAAGAGAGACAACTCTGCACTAAAATAAAAACTATACCGCATTTTCAGTAATAAAAGGTTTTAGAGGATAACTAATTTCATTGCCCATATAAGAATAAGAAATATATAAACACATTAATACAAAAGAGTGTAATTCTTCCAATGAATTCAATTTTTTACATTCACCTTTAAATTAAAAAAATTATTTTTTTTTCACATTTAATTAAAAAACCCTGCAAAAAAGCATCACGAATTAGCATAAACAAAAATACTAAATTTGCCGGATTGATGAATGCTACATCTTGCCAGCCCTAAATTTTAATTAAAATTATTTTTATTTAAATTTTTCCCCCAAAAATTATTTTTAAAAATTAAAAAAAAATTATTTTTTAATCCCCAAAGGACACGTTTTTCCCCTTTAACCCGTCAAAAATATTTTATTTTTCGGTTTGTTATTTTGTAAAAAATTTCAAAAAAAACAATAAAAATAGTTAAAAAACATCAAATGTTTTTACAAAAAAAAAACAAAGGAATTTATGGACATTTTTAAAAAATAATCTTTCCCATTAATCTTGACATATACGTGGAGTTTTATAAAAAACTCTTTTTTGAAAAAATTTAAAAAATCGTAAAAAAAATTTTTTCAAAAAAAATATAAAAAGAGTAAGGTGGTAACCATGAAAATATTAATAAAATTTTTTTACTGGAAAAAAACACACCTGTAAAATTAATGCACGATCAACACTTCGAAGCCTACAAATTAATATTTAAATGTGTGTTTTAAATGTATTTTTATTTAATTTTTATTGTATTTTCCGGAATAAGCTTCCGGAAAGGTTTCTGTATTTTTCTTTCTTAAAATGTGTTTTCTCAATAAATTAAAACACATTCCGGAAGCAATTAACTAATAATTCTAGAATATTTTCCGGAAAAGATTGTATTTTTAAAAATGTATTTTCCGGAAATGTATTTTCTCAAAAACACAACCTTTCCGGAAAACAACTAAAAATTCTGAAGCTTCCGGAAAATGTTTGTATTTTTCAAAAATACAAAAAATAATTTATTTACCAAGTCCCCAAATGCGCCGGTTCAAACTGTTCATGCAAACCATACCAACAACAATGTTGACAAATAAAATACCCAATTGCTTTAATTAATTCACCAGAATTTGCTTGAATAATCTGAAAAATTAATTTAAAATTAATTTTTTAATTCGTTTCCCCTCACTTTTCGTCTTTGCCTCAGAGGGGACAAATTGTCCAAAAATTTAGTTTTGTCATTCCCTCCACTCCAATCCGCAGACAACCACAAATCTTTAGATTTTTTAACATTTGTTGAAGTATAAGCATCCGTTGGAGCAGAAAATGGGCGTCTATTAGAAATTGAGGAGTCGACAGAAGGGCAGGTAGCCATTGACAGAAGCATGGAGGATACAAGTTCCCCATCACCTCTTTTATTGAGGAACTTGAAAAAAAATTTTTTTAAGAATAAATACTCCAGAAAAATCAAAATTTGACATCCCAACGAGAAAAGAAAATTTTTTTGGAAAAAAATCGGGAAAAATTTTTTTGATGACATTTGGTCCCACTAACTATTTTTAATTAAAAAAAATATTTTTTAAAGAATTAATACTCTAAAAAATCAGAATTTTAGTATCCCAACGCGAAAAGAAAATTTTTTTAGAGAAAATCGAAAAAAATTTTTTTTGATGACATTTGGTCCCAGTAACTATTTTTAATTTTAAAAAATCGGAAAAAAATTTTTTTGATTAATAAATAATTTAAAAAATCAGAATTTGACATCCCAACGCAAAAATAAAATTTTTTGGGAAAAATCGAGAAAAAATTTTTTTGATGACATTTGGTCCCAGTAACTATTTTTAATTCTAAAAAATCAAACAAACAATTTCCACATTTCCATTTTTATTTGGAAGTCTATTAGCGGCAGAAGAAGCACATTTTGGTAACATTCGCTTTTTTGCTTGGTATAGGGAAGCTCTTAATGAGGATGTACTTATTGTTGCTGTTTTGTGTTTATGTGGTAAATTATTTAAAATTGTTGTTGTTGTTTTATTGTTGTTATCATCAAGATAGAGATGATTCTTAATTTTAAAAATTAAAAAAAATTAAAAAAAAATTTTTTTAAACTTCTAAAAACCCATTAAAACCTTCCTTAGTGTTCTAAGCAGATCAACCCCAATACCGAACCGCAAATTTTTTTTCAGTCTAAAATTATTTCCCAGGACATCAATGCTAAACGATATTTTGTCAGACGACCTTCGAGAATTTTAATTTTTCTTCCACCGACCCCAAAACTTCAAAGTACCCCAAAGTTGGACAAGAAAACAAGAGGTGACATTTGGTCCCAAAACAAAAATGTAGATTTTAACAGCTAAGGTCTGAGTTTTAGGACAGCCAAGTAGTCATTACCTTCATAAGTAAACCTTTCCCAACCCCCTTCACTTACTCAACTTAAAATAAAATAATCAATAAACCTTAAAATTATCATTAAATCCTTCCTCTTCCTCCTCCTCATCATCCTTCTCCCAATTTTTCTTCTTCTCAATTTCCTCTTCTTTTTCTTCCTCTTCATTCTCATCCTCTCCAATTAAAGAACGTAATAGTCCATTAAACAGTTTAGAGCCACTTCTTTTTAAAGAACTTTTTAAAGAAAAGTCCTTACTATTAGAATTGTTTTCTAATATTTTTCTTCTTCTCCAATGAACTTCTTTTTCAACCGACAAATTTTGTTCTTTGTGAATATTTTCAAAATTGTTTGATGAATGATTAGAGATTGTTAAAGTAGACAAATCTGTGAAAAATAAAAAAAGGTCAAAGAAAAAAGTCAAAAAAACAAGACAAGGTGACATTTGGTCCCAGAAACAAAAATGACCTCGAAGAGAGGCCCATTGATCATTTCTCGCCCACTCGGTGATCAACCAACTTTTAAGAACGGCCGAGCCCATCCCAGAAAATAGGAAAAGATTGGGAGTTGATCTTGGAAAATCTCAGACCACCGACAAGGTGACATTTGGTCCCAAAAACAGACCAACCTGACTTTGTTTTCATTTCTTGCTTTATTTGCTAGATTGGAAGGAAACTCGACATCGTTACAAAACGAGGTCCGACTGTACTACTAGTGATCGAGAAAGCCTGGGCATGTTACTGGGTTTTGATTTATTGACCTGGGCCGGATCCTGGGCCTGTAATCCAGGAAAACCCCAGGAAGGTCAAAAAATGCCTAGACTCTGGGTACAGGAAAAACCCAGGCCTTTGTCCAGACCCAGCTCGATCACTAGTAATAATCAAACAAAAATTAAAAATTCACCCTTATAGACATCATCATTTTCGTAATTATTATTTATATTTACATAAATATTGTTGTTATTATTATCCTCAATTTTACTACTATTTTCAATTAATTCTTTTCTGTTTTTACTTGACGGCAAATGCCGCCTTCTTTGTTGGGTTGTTTGCTCTTTAATTAAACTTTTGGCCATTAAATGCTTTCCTTCTACAAAATTATTAACATTTCCTCCTCCCCCTCCTTTAAGCCCAGGCAATGCACGCGTGAATGAACCACCCCAACGAGAAACAAATGTTGACGGGCCATTAATGTTTTTTACATTTGAGCCTTTAATTTAAAAAATATTCTTTTGTGAAGCCTAATAAAACATCGCTTCTTTATAATTAAAGTTTTTGCCAAAAAATTGTACTCTACATTTCGGCAAAAAGAAATAAAATTGCCATTTTGTCAAGTTTTGGAAATCAAAAATCATTTTTCACCCAAAACAAGACAAGGTGACATTTGGTCCCAAAAAAGCAAAAATAAAGAACAAAAGTGACATTTGGTCCCAAAAACAAAAAAGTGACATTTGGTCCCAAAAACAAAAAAGTAAAATAAAAAAAAGTGACATTTGGTCCCAAAATAAAAAAAGCGACATTTGGTCCCAAAATAAAAAAAGCGACATTTGTTCCCAAAATAAAAAAAGCGACATTTGGCCCCAAAAGGAAAAAATGCCCATTTCGTCACAAGAGATTAAATACTCATTTAATCACTTACCTAAACCACTTCTAGCGGAACTTGATCCATGCTGACTTTTGTGGTTGTGTCCAAGCATTGAGGAAGGCAACCGATTGCTTTTTGAACCAGCACCAATAAATGAATTAACATTGGCATAATTATCGGCAAAAGGAGACGGTGAATGAAGGGCTTTCCATTGGGTTAGACTGTTGGTTTTTTGTCGACCTTTGGAGCTTAAAAACGAAGAGGGATTAAAAAACAAAAAGATAATAAAAATATCAATGCCCAAAAGATCACAAAATTTGTCTCTCTTGTACACTCAAACAGTATTATATACTCTCTCGTTCTTTGTCTAACCATAAAAATAATTTCCGGAAATGTTAGACGGAGAGCGAGAGAGTGAGTAGTCTAGGGGTATATGTGAGAGACTGCAGAGACATTTTCCGGAAGGTTATTCTTGAATTTTCCGGAAAGTTTAGACAGTGGGCGAGAGAGTGAGTAGTCTAGGGGTATATGTGAGAGACTGCAGAGACATTTTCCGGTAAGGTTATTCTTGTATTTTCCGGAAAGGTTAGACAGAGGGCGAGAGAGTGTATATTTTGCGGGCATATAAGAGAGATTGCAGAGACATTTTTGTCTATTTGTAAATCTTTTTGGGGGTTTTTATCAAATTTTTTTAAACATACATAGAAGAGCGAATATTTGATTTAGATAACGAAGGGTGTCTAATAAATTGTTGTTTGTTCTGTTGTTGTTCAGACAAATAGGGGGTACAACCAGCAGAAGAAAAAGACGAAGAGGAGGATACTTGGGGAGGGCTAGCAGAATTTGAACAGCTTGAAGGGGTTCTCCAATGTCTCGACTTTCTTCCACTCGAGCCTATACTACTTAAGCCTGGGGAAGTTAAAAGACCACCGGAACTATTTCTGCTGCTGCTACTAAAACTTCTAGTTGTATTGAAGTTTTCTCCACTTCCGCTGCTGCTTATTTGGCCACCCATATTTTTTTTTCGATTTTTAATTAAAAAGAAATTTAATACATTCTTTAAGGGAAAAATAGGAGAAGGAAGAATTAAATATGTGCCAAAGCTGAGCTACAAATAGCCTAAAAAATAAATGTGTTTTTTAAATCAATATACAAGAGAGGATTAAAGACTAAATTTAAAAAAATCTCACTATAAGGGTAAGCATTAGGAGGTGGAAAAATTCATATCATAGTATGAGAGGGTATCTTAAATTGGGGAGGGGGAGGTATTTTATAAGGGAAGAAGGGTATCTTAAATTTAGAGGCATCATAGATTGGGGAGGGGTATCGCCTCATTACAGGCTGATCAATACGCCTCTATTTTAAGATACATTTCTTGAAAGTTGATTATTTTTGGTAAACCACTGGATGGTGAGTTGTCGGTACTTACTTGTTATATGCCCACAAATTGGGTGCCATCGACTTTGATAGGCTATGACTTTTTGATACCTGATCCAATGGTAATGAATTTTGTATCATTCGAAAGCCCTTGATAAGCGATATGTTTTCCAACTTGATTTATCAGTCATTAAAAAGTTATAAGCCGATAAATATGGATGACACTCAATTTGTGGGCGTATAACGGATAGGTACCGATAACTCCCCCCTTTCATTTTCAACAACAATCAGCCCCTCCAAGAAATGTATTATCTTAAAATAAAGGCATATTGGTCACCTGTATTTTGGATGTATTTGGGTCAGCCCGTAATAAGGTCAATAAATTTAAAAAAATTAAATAAAAATGTACATATTTAGTTAGGGTCCTCCATCTGGAAAAACAAGCAAAAATTTTTTTCTTTAAGAGAAAAAAAATATTTAATTTTGGCATTGTGTATTTTTTAAAGTAATGACAAGATAGGAAACAAAAAAAGGTTTTTTAAGAAAAAAAAGAATTTTCTTTGGATTTTGCCAAAAAATGAAGAAAAGAAAAATGGGGGGAGGGAAAGAATGACTAATACAAATAACTAAACATAAATTTACTTAACTAAATAAACCTACCGTATTTCCTGAAATAGTACTCCCCCCTGAATTAGCACTCCCCCCTTAAATAGTACTCCCCTTTAGAGGAGGGTTGAAAAATAGTACTCCCCCCTGAATTAGTACTCCCCCTAAAATAGCACTCCCCCCTAAAAATTTTTCTCCTATATTTGAAAAAATAAAAAGAGACTCATTGAATTATTTTATTTATTCTAAGTAGCGTTGTCGGTTTCACTTGATTCTCCGATAAACAAAACCGGAAAGCCTTCGGTTAACCGAAAACGAACTGAAATTTTAACCTAAAATTTTTCGGAGATTAAAGAAATACAATCCGGTTAATTGGTGGGGTAAAAGTGGATTTTGGGGGATATAAAGGGATTGATATCTGATGATAAAATGGGTTCTGGATTGATCAAGTAGGATTTAAAAGATATCATTGGATTAAGGTTTGATGAAGGGATTTGAGGGGAATACACACAAGATTAGTTAACCCTATGAGATTAGTTAATAGAGGGATACACACGAGACTAGTTAACCCCCTGATAAATTCCTAGACAGAGATATTTCCACTATATCCCAAAAAATTAATTGATAATCATTTTATTAATATCATTTTATTATTATTGATAATCATTTTATTATATTTTAATATCAACTTTATCCCCTCAAATCTCACGATATCGCTTTTAATCAAAAATTACCTGGCATCCCTACTAATCCGCTAAAACGTCAATATCCTTCTCAATCCTGATAATTTTTTCGACATCCAACTTAATCTATCGATATCTCTTAATCGCTTAAAATCCCATTATACCCCTGGATATCACTCCAAATCCACTAATATCCTTTTTGCTTTCCCTCAATAACCCTATTTTAAGTCACTTGTGTTTAAAAGTCTCGCAAGTTGCTCAATTTTATACTAATTTGGAATCCACATTTCTTGAAAATCCAAATTTGGATCCGGCATTTTTCAAATTACGAACTCTAATTGATTTAAACATTTAAACTTTTGAGACAAATTTTCCTAAGATAAATCATGGAGGTAGGTTGAAAAATAATACTCCCCCCTGAATTAGTACTCCCCCCTTAAATAGTACTCCCCTTTGGAGGAGGGTTGAAAAATAGTACTCCCGGGAGTACTATTTTAGGAAATACGGTATTTAATTTTTTAAAGAAAAAAGCACATTTTTAAGGTAAAAAGAGGTTTTTTGCCTTTTTTGGACTAAAAAAATTTTTTTGAAAAAAATAAATGAAATGAAAGAAAATAAAAGAGAAATTGCCTTTCTGTGACCAGAGGGAATTGCCAA